TCGTGTGCAAATTATTATCCAAAGGAGCAAGTGAGTGATTCGGGAAAGACTTATGCCTTACGAAAACAAAATATTGATATAATCTAAAAGTATAAGACAATTGAAACCAAAAACTGCAATGTAAGTCAAATTAATTTATATTGTAGAATTTAACTTGAAGCGACCTAGCAATTTAAAGCAAGTTGTAAGGGCATATATATATGTATAAGAAAATAAATAAATATACATACACACATAATACGAAGCATACATGAAACAAAGACGCTTGCTGACTTAAACATATTAAATAAATCAGGATTTTAGAAGTAAAGTTTAATTATGTATATTCCATATAGTTTACAATGATTAAGAAATAAAAATATTTAAAATAAATTATAAAGTGCACAGTAGGAAATAAAATCCCGTACTAACCCTTGTGAGGGCTAGATTCACGAGAGCGGTATTATAAAGAAGACGCAGCAACATCCCCTGCGTCAGCTGCGTGGGAGCCAATTCTATAGAAGTAAGATTGGGAAATAGAAAGGCTATATCCGCTAGTGGATTTCCATGAAGGAGATTTGGTCTTGCTTCCAGCCACCTTACGTCTGATAGATACCAATCCCGAGAAACCTTAGCTTCAGGATAGGTTATCGATGATGAAGTGCGATGGCCCAAGAGATTGGATTGCAAATTACTTCCATGGTCGGTAACAAGTCTCCGTTGACGCGGCAGGCTCACTTTACATAAGTGAACAAGACTAAGGCTCTCTAAGCTCAAACCAGCTACCTGTAAACGTAATTAAAGTAAAAAATGAAATATGAGCAAAATTAATTACCTCTGCTAAATCTATGGTAAGTCTACGGGCATCTGAAGGATCTAAAAATAGATCCATCAGACGCAAATATCTCAGCCCCCTGAAATTACGCACGACTCGTCTGATAGTCTCGAGCAGAGCCCCGCCTGTACCATATGTGGCTCCTGCGACCTCATCAACTTCACTGTGAAAATCCAAGGCAAATTTACGGATGTTGGGTGGGCCGTACTGGCTTGAGTCAGGAGGGTATATTAAACGCTCTCGAGGGCGGTCAGGAAGTAAATTTGTCTCATTTCCCTGTTTAGCAAATGACGATGGAATAGCACAGCTTTGACTGCGCTGATAAAGCCTCCCAGATTTATTGCAATTTGAGTTAA